CACTTCAGGGTGCAAAGTACTACACTCCCACAGTGAGGGGGTTACAGACATTCTCAGGAAATACCCATAGACAGGTAGCATATCAGAAAGAAACACACTCAGGATGTACAGGCTCTACATGGAAGCCAGAGGCAAGGCAAAGCCTGAGTTGTTCTGTATTTGAAAATCTAGGTATTCGTTATATTTAGTGCATTGATGAATGTGAACACTACTAAGAGTAAATTAACTGAAAAGTTGAATCTTTGACAGTTTGAACAAAGTTGAGAAACTCACTGCCATTGTTGTCCAAAAACCGTAAATTCAATCACTTAGAATTAGAAATGCTGAAATCACAATAGGCTCCGTAAAATCCTGAAAATTAATACTATATACATTCATAACAAGTTATCCAGAACAAGTTTATGAAAATTGCCTGTATGCCTAGATACATATAAAATACAAAAGAAGAGCATACAAATAAGTCTGTATCATTTAATAAAAGTGAGAAGTTTATGTACTAAAAACCATCCAACAAAAGAACCTTATTTTCTGCTGGATTCATACTTGAATGCTACAAGGAATTTTGAAAAGATCTAATGGATATACTGCACAATCTAAAAAAATGGAATGGAAAACAGGATTCTTAAAGTCATTCTTGGAAGCAAGCATCACCCTGACCTGAAAAGCAGAATAACTCTAAGGAATTAAAAGAGCTACAGCTTCATCACCTTCATGAATGTCCACGCACAACCTTTGTAAGATTCTGGCAACCAATCAACATCAAATTATGTATAATTGAAAAGTAAAGGGCTGGATAGATAGCTCAGTAGAATATGCACTTGCTTGGCAAGCAAAAGGGCCTGAGTTCAATCCCCCGTTCCGCCAAGACAAAAAAGAAAGGAAGAAAGAAAGAAAGAAAGAAAGAAAGAAAGAAAGAAAGAAAGAAGAAAGAAAGAAAGAAAGAAAGAAAGAAAGAAAGAAAGAAAGAAAGAAAGAAAGAAAGAAAGAAATATAGGCTGCATTACACAGGTGCAAGGATGTTTCAGTATGAACAAGACAAACATTTCATGAAAAGCATGAAGAGAATCCAGGACACAAAACAT